TGTTTTCTATTAGGCATTGTTGCGTGTCGTTCATATCAGCGATTTTTGAAGGCAGCTAGGATGAAAACGAATCAGGGATTCTCTTCTTAGAGCTAGTTTTCAAGACTTCTGTCGGAGAAATAATATTTAATAAATAACATAATCATGAAATTATATTTTGGGAAGATTTATCAATTTTTCAAAAACAGGGTGTCTGCAAATTATCCGTACAGACTTTGACAGCACGCCTCTATACAACCAAACGGATTAAACTAAGCATACCTCTATGGTTTAATATCTTGACCTCCCAAGTAACATTTTAAGTTTTATGAAATACTACAAAGCAACTATAAAACAACATTCATAAAACCCTGGTCAAAGCTATTTTGTCATTAATGCATCCACCAAAACCTCATTAAGACTAGAATATGTCTAGTTGGCCCACCCTGGAGAAGGTTCTGAAGGGTGTATTCTCGAAGCTCTTCAAGATTGATTTACTGCAAAAGGTTGTATGACGAACGCATTGAGAACCATTTGAAAGCTACAATAAAAGCTATTTAGCAACAATAAAAACCCTTTCCGAGCCATTTCCCCTAGCCGCATGCTGAATTCACTAGGAAAGCATCAATCAAGATAGAAAAGGATTTATGAATCCTAGCTTATCACAATAATTAAAATAGAAACTGATGGTATAAAAATCTTGTTGACTATCCACATTTATTACAATAGTCCTCATTGAGTGGCCTAGTTTTAAGTGCCATATTAATTTTTATGTGAAATTTACGTGAAAACATCGAAAAAATTAAGTCCACCCTCGTAAAACGTCGATGTGACTAATTTTTTAACATTGAAAAATAAAATATATTCTACAGATCGAGCTTGGCCGAGATTTTTGTATTATTTTTGCCTTTAAATGGTTGCTCATTGCTAAATTTACCAAAATATAGTTATATCTAAGGAAAAATAGATTGAAAATCGAAGATTGTAAAAAACAAGCAAACTTATTATAACATGGCAGTGGCATAAAAGTTGATTTTCATGGATCATTTGTGAAAAAGTGGTTTTGCTTTCAAGAATTCCTTAACAATTTAATAAGGTTTTAAAATGGCTTTTATGAAGAAAACTTGCAGGCTGAATTGTATTTATCTAAAGCTATTTTGCTTGATCCTAACCCGTTCAGATTTATGGCAGCATTTATGGAGGCAAAGTTGTCTGCAAAAAGTTAAACGTCAAAGTTTGTTTATCTTTCGATAGTTGCGCTGTGGAATCCAGGGTTCTTCCAGGTAGTTTTCTCCCGATGGATTGGGAGCAGCTACTCAGACAGTTTGCGATACTGTTTTACAACATTGCGCATTTCGAACAGTTGGAAGCGCAATCGCTCCCGAAAAATATCCGGATGGTTACAGAAGTGCACTATCCAACGATGCAGGGATGTACGCTTGAATGAAATTTTCGAAGAGTTGATTCTTTTGCCGAATAAAACCGCTGCTATGGATCGGAAACCAGCTAATCTCCGCTAACTAACAGTTTCAGTAGTTTGCTGTCGGTTGTCATCCTCTCGCAAGATCTGGAGAAGGCTGGTATGTTTTTTTAACTTTCGACAATGTTGTAGGAATTCGAGGGCCCCGCTCAATTTGCTCTTCTCCGCCAGATGGCCAGTCGTTGATGGTATGCTGGTTCTTCTAGAGAAGAAAATTTTGCTGAAATCGACTTAAATTTTTCCTTCGTCTATCCTTCGAGATTTCTTTGTCATAAATTTGGCATTTATAAACTATGAGGAACCATATTTCAAGCTCAATTTGTAAACAGAGTAATTGGGGAGTTAATGATGCACTATATAAAGCCTGAACAGCAACAATAAATGCTTTTTGCTCTAATGCAAAACCTAATGGTTTTATGGTTGCTTTTATAATGATAGAACACGTTTATAAAGTATTTTATCAAGCCATTAATAAACAATTGCTAATGACGGTTATGCTTGAATAACAGAACAGTTTTAAGGAGGGATTGATAACTGTTTTAAATTTATTTTTGAAACAAGACAGTTTTTGCTTTTCTTGCCAGACTATAAAAGGTTTTTAAACCAGCAAAAAGCTGAATTACTAAGCAGGAATGTTTTACACTTTGAAATGCTATATTTAAACTAAATGGATTGTTCATTGCCGTTATAAAACCATCATAAATCAGAGTGGATGCTAAATGGTTACTGAATTGTTACTTTGGCTATTATCTTCATACGCAGTAAGTTTCGTAAAGTTTTGATTTCAAATTCTTACAAAATGAAGCCAAATAGTTTGCGCGGAGCTGTTGTTGAACTTTATCGTCAAGGAAAAACCGTGTCAGAGATTGCAAAGGCGCTGAATATGGCGAACACTCCTGTGAGTGACTCAATAAAACGATTCCAGGAGCTTGGAACGCTAGAGGAATGCGTTGAGACCGTTGGGACCGTTCGGACAAATGCGCGAGACAATCTGGCAACGAATCAAGCGAAATTCAACAATTTCCATCCGAAAGTTAGCGAAATCACTGGAAATGTCGAAATCTTCCACTGCTGCCATAGCTCATGATGACTTGAAGCTTAAAACATATAAACTATGCAAAAACCACTACTTGAATGACACCATGAAAACAAATAGGTTCAGAAAACATAGTTGAAGATGCTAATTTCAAATAACAGACTGTAGTGGTAATTTTTATACGATAGATGGAGTAGATGAAAGCATAGAGTTGATAGTTCCGTTAGAGTACGGCAGAATGAAGATTGTATATAGATATTAGAATAGCGAACTAGGACAACTTTTAAGGAAGGTACAAATCGGTTTTTTCATCTCTCTTTACCAAACTCCCCCTTTGGAGGAACTAATACTAAAAACATATAGTCAAAGTACATAACTCTGGATGGGAGCATACCATCAATTACTGTCAATGGTCGAAAGGTACAGTAGCAACACCTACCCCACCCGTGTCCCCTCGAGATCGTCAAGTCGACGATGACAGGAGCACATATCGTGGTAGGGGTAAACAATAGTTGCAATTTCCAAACCTACGACTGGATGCCTTCCTTCAAATAACAATTGAAGTGCGGTAAAAATCGGTAGAACTGTTTCAAACACACAGTTGGTACTTGAACGGGTCGGTTTTCATCTCTTTTTGCCAGTGGTGGCGGGGGCGACACCCCTCAACATCCCTCTCCAAAGGGGGAGTTTGGTAAAGAGAGATGAAAAAACCGATTTGTACCTTCCTTAAAAGTTGTCCTAGTTCGCTATTCTAATATCTATATACAATCTTCACACTGCCGTACTGTAACGGAACTATCAACTCTATGCTTTCATCTACTCCATCTATCGTATAAAAATTACCACTACAGTCTGTTATTTGAAATTTGCATCTTTAACTATGTAAATCGTTGACTTCACGTAGAAGTAATACTAAAAACATATAGTCAAAGTAGGTTCAGAAAAGTTAAGGTTCTTCTGAACATGGTTATCCGAGGGCCGCCATCAGTCAGTGCTGTTTACCGATGAAAATTTCTTCCTATCGAGCAGCATCACAACGACCAGAATGACTATTAGTCTCTGCGAACGCCTTTTTCCGAGCTTTTTGACGAAAGAGGAATGGCCTTCCAACTCACCGGATTTGAATTCAATGGACTATTCGGTATGGTCTATCTTGGACTCAAGAGCCTGCAGAACCCCGCATAAATCACTGGAACATTTGAAAGCATCTCTAAAAGTTTGGGAAGAAATATCCGAAGAAGAACTTGCGGCCATCGTTGATGCATTCCCGAAACGTTTGAAGGTGTGTATTTCAGCACGGGGCGGCCCTTTTTATAATGAACAAATAAAATGTTTTCTTCTATAAATATTGCTATAATAAACAATTTATATTGATTTTTAAAGTTTTCAATAAAAGATAATTTCAACACCATTTTGTTGTACGGATTATATTCTTATAGCCTTTCTGACTTTAGTTTTGTTCAAATCGTACTCTATGAAAGATTACTTAAAAAACATAATCCTAATTTTAAGATCACAAGCTTAGATATTTTTCTAAATTTGGCTACTCAGATAAGTTTTAAGATCAGTGTTGTAGAAAATATTTTAAGAACTGAGACTTGGAAAGATTTCCGTGATCTCACATACAGGCATATTTCGTTATGAGGCATTTTTATACAATAATTTTTAATAGCGGATTATTCCTTCTTTTAATCATGAGCAGTTCTTTCGAGTTTGAAGAATTCTATCTGCTGACATGTATATTCTAGTTATCTTAGCACCTTCCCACCTCCCGAAAATACTCTGCGATTTGCGAATATTAAATCTAGGATTATCACAGACAACAGAAAATTAATAGGCTTTTTTTGTTCTAGTAATTAGTAAATATCCTAATATGTCATGAGCATTCTTTGTTGGGCTGCCTGTGGTAATTTAGACACATTTCCTTCGAACCATGTTTTGAGTTCCTGAAAAGTTTCTCAAGAAACCCACCTCAACGGAACGAAAAGTTTCGATGAGTGATTTACTAGTTTTGTGAAAGAAGCAAACAGCTGTGCTTAATGGATTTCAGACTCAAAGTATATTTATTGTTGTTTATCTATTAGGCATTGTTGCGTGTCGTTCTAATCAGTGTGTCGTTCCAAGTAGCTAGGATGAAAACGAATTAGGGATTCTCTATGTGTCAGCCAGTAGAATCCAATTCACATGTTCATGTCTTAGAACCTTCGGTACGTCTTAAAGTTCCTTTAATAGCCACTCATAAAAAAACCAACCTTGATACAACGAAATCCCTTTCAAATTCAACTTCAGTATCTGTAGAGCTACCCCAATTGGAATGGAAATTATAACTTTGCGCAGGCGAACGAGTGAAAGGTTACCACGTTCGCTTGCTCAAAGTTGACCCGCAAATAACCGCAAATGGCTGACCCTTCTGAGACTTCAAATAATACCAAAATAACAACAAATCGAACGGCAATCTCGGAAAATGATGATGATCAGCTGTATGTTTCAAAGCTCACAACTTACCATTTTGAAGCTCCGTGCGTTCACTTCCGTTCCTTCCCTACGAGCAAGGCTAGTAGTCCTTCAGCTTTCGTAATAAGTGAGCGAATGCTATTACGTATGCGTGTACGTGGCTGTTGTCCTTCAATTCTCACCCGAAAAAAAAACACAAACTATCCACCGAGCGCAGCTACTCTCAGTCACGAGCTCACGCACTCGTGCGATTGTTTCGAGCACTTTTCACAGCGGGAGTTTCTTCCGATTGGGTTTAATTTTTTTTTTGTGTGACACAAAAGCTGCAGATGGAAAATGCTAAATGAAATAATATAAACGTTCAGCTTCCTGAAAAAAAAAAAACTCAACCACTTGACTCGACTTCCGGTTTAGTTCGGTGAACAAGTTATTTTTTTCTTTTTTGCACCGCTCCTTTCTTGTCTTGGAGTCAGCCAGTTCAGAGTGTGGAATGACGTCGAGGAATGTTGCGCTCAAGAGAAATGCACTGGATTGCGACTATGGTCCGTTGGTTGGATGGAAAATTGCTGTGCAGCCTCCACTTTCAATAATGGTAATTTCTGTGGGTGGTTGGATGGGAAAGCGCTGCAGTGGGAGGCAGTCGTGCGAAGTTATTAAAATATGTTTTTATTCATTAGCAGAGTTTATATAAAATAAATGCGCATGAGGGTGAAGGAGAAAAGGAAAATATCCAATTCAATGCGATGTGAAATTCGCTGCAGATGGCTGATGGCGTTTGATGTTTGTGAAAATTTCGCATGGCAATAGAAGTGTGGCGAAAAGTTATGAAGAGAAAAGAGAAATCAGGTTCGTCGCTTATTTTCCCAGTGCAGTCTCTTGAATGTAACCGAGCTCGTGTCGCTAATCTGAATTGCTTCACACATTCACTGAAATCCGACACGGAATGGTCTTGCTAGATGCTTTCTGTCACTTTTAGCCCGTTCGATCGATCTTCTCGGCTAGGGTAATCTTCAAATCACTTTCAGCCAAAAATTGCACCAAATCAGAACACTACCAGTCACACTTGTTCCAAATCTAGAACGCTAAAAATTCTTAGAAACTATGCTAACAATTGGAAACCAAATCGACCACCAGTGCCGCTGCACTGCCAATCTTCGTTCCTTGAACGGAGAAGGTACCTATGGAAACACAGCACTCGTTTCTCGTTTCTTCTATGCACCACACAGCCCTCGGAGTGCTCTGCTGGACGGAATGACGGAGCGAGAAACCAAAGCGATATTGACACAAACTATGCGAACTAGGGACTAAATCGAAAATTGTGTTTCATAAACATCGATACCCCCAGCTCCCATGCCAAGCCAAGTCAAGCTAGAGGCCGCCACATCGGTTCACGTTCGGCGTCGTCGTCGTCGTCGTTGTCGTGTTGGTGCGAAGGAGAAGCCGAAAGAGGCAACCGCGGTCCGCGAGATCAAACTTCGTGCCGTGCTGTTGGTGGGTGGGAGAGTCTTAGCCGTGTTTGAAGTTTGAGAGCATGGACGACGACGACGACGACGACGACGACGGTGAATGGAGGCGCCTTGCAGAGTCGATTGTCTTCTGGCGAGTTGCGTTCGCTTGATTTCCCTTCTCTTTGCAACACGATGGGGTAGCTGCTTGTTAGTAGCATACTTTGCACTATGCTCGAGCACGGTGGGCCAAAATCGTATTCTGACGGATTATGGGCACTTAAATTCCACTGTGCTACGCTCACTTAGCGACTTAGCGTCGCGTTCATAGTCAGGCAGGTAGCCATGAGAGCTAATAACAGTGGCAGACATTTGGCTGAAAATTGAATCTTTCGTGTGAGCGTTGGAGTTTTCCGATTGTGTGTTTCTAAACTGCACAGAACCATTTGCTGTAGGCGAGTCAACGTTGTCATCAATACAAACAGCCAGCAGACAGCTTCGATCGTGATGGATTTGTTTCAACATTCGAACGCTTTCAATACTGTGTTGAACTTTCCTAATGAAATGAAGCATGGGTATTGAGCTTTATGGTGTGGATAGCAAAATTTTATGTTTCTGGTTTGTTAACGATGGGGTTGAATCTTCGTGTTCTTTTCATCTAGGTGTTTACGTTCCAACTGGAACTTTAAACCTTTCATAAACTAAGTGTTCTTTGACCAGTTGTTAATTGAGAGTTTTCAAGCCTATTCAATTTTAACATTCGTAGTAGTATTAGCCTCCAGCATGGTGTGTCACGCCTTTACTGATTAGGCTGGCGGGGGTTGATCAAAGGTTTTCAAAATATTATTTTGCTTCACGAAACAACATAAACCCAAAGTGAATTCAGAGCTTTATGACATGTTTATTGTTGTTCTAGTGACCCTGAATAGCTTGAGTTCAATCAGTTCCTTGAACTGTGTAAGGGCTATTTACTGTGATGTGTCCTCGGAGGGTTTCGTACGGGCTAAACTGCCCATAATCGCAAGTCAGTCCCATCTGTAAAAACCTGGAAATGAGAAAACAGCGTTAAAAGATTTTACAAGTTTTCTGATTTGACACTTATTTTAGAGGCATAACTTTAAAAATAAACATACAATGTGATTGAATGCATCTATGTTTACCAAGAAATATTGAATAAAATTTCATGAAATTTTTATTTTATGGCCAAGATCTGAGTGGGACTGACATGCGATGACACTTAACGTAAATGAGAAAAATAACCGCAAGGCAGTCACAATTCCATGACAATGCTGCATTATTTTAGCACAGTATTGAATAGTAGAAAGATTCCATGGTCCCATAGAACGTTATTGTATGTTTCTGGATGAGTTCCGCTGGTTCTAGAGCAATGGCCGGAACATATTCCGGTGAATATGGGTCTTCATCAGACCAAAGCCAAACGTGCCAAACCCACCATGCGATAAATCAATTCACATGAGAATTCAAAAATAAGATCAATAAGAGTCATGATGAGTGACCTGCAAAATGTTGGCCACACCCGGAAATATTCCCGGGAAAGTGGTAAATCCTTTTTAAATCAAAATCTATCAAGCGATACATCAAATCAAATGAGAATTCAAATCCATATCCATTGGTGGTCAAAATGAGTATCGTAAGAACTATATTGGCCACATCCGGACATTTTCTAGATACCCAAGGGAATGTGGACAAAATCTATCGTGAGACAAATCTCTTGATGCGATGTTAGGGTGTTTCATTTTGGAAAAAGATTGATATTTTTGATAGGCCACCAAAACAAACAAACAAAAACAAACATCTGTGCAAAGAATTAGCTAAATTGGTCAACGTTAAGAGGTCGCGCCAATGATTTCAATTTTGTTCGGGACTTTCGTCAAATTAGTATGGGAGAAAATGATGACCAACTAAAATCATTCTAACTTTTTTCCGAATGAACCGATTTGCATGAAATTAAAATAAGTTATATTTAAAACTATAATGAACAACTTTGTTCAAGGCTGCAAGTCGATTTGATGCTTCAGAAAACAGAAATTGGCTTTCGGAACTCAGATTGCAGATAAACCTTGGGCATATTTCATAGTATGCCTTGCCAGATTTTTTTACCTCAATGTTAATAAACATATTGTGCTGTCATCTCTGGATACAATAGTGCCATGGAGTTGAGAAGTGATACGGAGAAGTGGTTGATTGGTCAGCCCATTACCAGGTTCACCGGTGGAAAATGATTGCAGTATTGAAGCGTAAATTGGACGCCATATTCGTGCGTCGAGCAGAAGTTGACATTTCACTGTTGCAAAATCTTGGGCTAGAGGATTTTGGTGGCGATGTGTTGTCTAACAATTTTAATTCTATAGAAGCAATCCTAAAAACATAGATGTGACGTTGTTTTATAGTTTATGTTATGAAATCAAATTTATTTTTTTTCTAATAGGACTGACTTGCGGTTACTTTTCGCTGTGGGACAATTTGACTTGGTTTTGTTTTTCATTTTTCTTGAACAAACCACCTTTTTTCAATAGCACATCTCAAAAAACATAGAAAAATAAACTGAATAATGATGCTAGCTCAAAATTGATAAAAATGCAGATGGGACTGACTTGCGATTACCGGCAGTAAAGGTTGAACATGAAAAAATCCGGACACATTAAAAGCGCTGCCATTAGAGTATTTTTCGAGTAACATTTTTCAAAATATCAATGAATCAAGCTAAGAGTGTATAGAATCACAGTAGGCATTGGTTCTCAGAATAAATTCATTTGTCTACATCATGGCTTGACCGGAGCAAGCACGTCACGATGCGATCCTGCACGCTTGAAACGAAAATCCCGGTCTATCCGCTCCTGGCATTTTTCGATCAAATTCCCGGGCAGGAATTGTATACCTTGGTTGACCGCAAAACTGCCCTGGAAGAATGTAAAATCAAAAAGAAGTCGAAGTTCCCCAAAAAGTGCATTGTCTGGCAAGCAACTTGCAGTTGTGGGCTGAAAAATGAAACTTTCGTTGCATCTGGGACCACGAACCAGCAAATTTAAGGAAGAAACTACTGTCTTTTGTGGAGCAGCATGAGGTGGATTTCCTATTCTGGCCAGGCTTGGCAACCTGCCACTACTCAAAGTACACCAAACTGTGGTACAGTGAAAATGGCGTCACAGTGGTTCCCAAGGAGATGAATCCGGCCAATACTCCGGAACTAAGACATACTGGTCGATTGTGAAGCACATACTGGAAAGGATGAAATTGTAATCAACCTGAAGGATTTCATGCTGAAATGGAATTTGGTAGCCAAACAAGTGGGAACAGGACTCGTGCAAAAGATGATGGGCCGTGTACAAAGGATAGTTCGAGCAACAGCCTATGGTTAGAAGGAAGACTGATTCAATGGTCTTACAATAAGCATAATACCTACTAATGTGTACAGCTGTTACATTGAACTTTGAAAAATAAAACGCATATATAAACCCCAACAACCTTGATTTTCGTGTTCAACCTTCAGCATGTGGTAAAGCTGGATCGAAAAGTGCTGTGCTTGAAGATGGAAGCGAAGAAATTTCCTCCCGTCAAATTTTTGGATTTTGAGTTGCTGCGGTTTTTTTTTAACAGTAAAGTGATATTGGTGACAAACTGAAACTTGAAATTCCTGAATCGAGTTCCACAGTGTACGGATTGAGTCGGACGGTCACGAGGTGTTTCAAGACTACATTCGGAACATTCCGTGAAAGCTCCAGGTTTGTATTCTTCTGATAGCGGCGGGTACCGGGTTACTCTTTATCGTGATTGGGAAATACTGAGATCGGTAGGCGTTTCTCCACGGATGTTTATATACATAAGATTTATAGTTGATTTAATGCAGTTAATATATGAGATATTTCATGAGAAGCTTCTTTTCACAAGAAAGTGTACGCCTATTGTCTATTGTTATTGAGTTATTCTCGATGTTCTTGAGAAAAGAAAGACACTTTTTTGCAAATTTCCTTAGAAATCTTAATATGTTTATTTGCAATGTCATACAAAATCGTCCAATAAATATGAATTATTCTATTCGACGCCGGGGGGATGTTCTGAGGCATAACATACATAGGGTAATTGATTCTGGTTGGGCCTATCCAAAAACTGATGATGGTTGGACCTATTTTTTCAATCGCTAGTTTAGTCAATCTTCGCTAAGTTTTTATTTTGCATGGGTGTTTTATTGAAAAAAAAAACTTCAAAACAATTGAGTTTCAATGTGTTTTCAAAACAGTTCACTTTTCACGCATTAGTTCGTCATCATGTCTTACTTTCAAACATACAAATAGGGAATATTTTTCACATTTATTTTAATTTTCATGTAGTAAAATACTGCTTTAAGGTGTAAACAACACGTTAGTACGCCATTTATCCATTGGTTTCACTAAAATGTTTGAATAATTGACGAAATTCGAATAGACAAATATGATCATGGTTGGACCTACGCATGATGATGGTTGGACCTATGTGTTTCCTAAGACGGCCGCTAGGTGCACTTCGGTTTGTCTACATCCTTCATGCGCAGCTGATTTGAAATTCGATTTCGTTTTTTCCGAGTGGTCAGTTTCTTCGATTGAAAAAAATGGCTAAAGAAAAGAGTTATAGGTTGAAAATCTTCAAGAGGCTGTTCTTTTAGTAAGAAATAAATCACTTACCGCGTATCAGGCACAGAAAAGGTACAATATTCCGAAAACGACACTTCACACAAAAATTAAGGGAAGCCACGGCAAGAAATATGGAAGGGAAATAGTGTTGAGTGTTGATTTGGAGAACCAGCTAGCGGATTGGGTTTGTATGTGCGCTGCTTCTGGCAGTCCCAAGACGGCCAAAAAGATCTTGGAAGTTG